TTACCATTGTACATGTCCACGCCTGACAGGCAAGACGTTTGCCTAAGTTGCATGCAGGAGGGGTTGGCTATCTATGCTCTAGCTTACCAGATAAGGAAGTGTAAGATGAGGGCAGCAGTCGGTTGAGGGGAACTTGCGTCGTACTCCGACGGGCGCTGACGGGCGCCGACGGGCTCCGACTTGAAGGCATGGCTTTTCATTCCGCAGTTATCGTTGCTCAGTAGCGGTCACATCAAGTGTAGTCGATGGCGGAATTCGACGGCTCGCGCCGAGCTGTTGCTGCCTCTGGAGAAGGTCCGACTAGTCCGATACCCCTTCCCCAAGGTATGCCAATCAAACTGACCAATGGCGGAGATCAACGCCTGAGTTGCGGTAGATCGTCCTGACAGGTCTCGCAGCTCCCGTGATGATTATCAAGCATGGCTGGCTGCTGGAGAGGAGGATGGAGCATGCAGCCGTAGCATCGACCACGGCTTGATGGCATAGACTATTCAAAGTAGGACTGAACGATTGGGAATCAGAAGAGTCTGCACTAGAACGAACATGTGGGTCGCATGGAGAACGACAAGAAGACTTGAGGCTGTCGCGCGAGCCTTGGCGGCCAAAATGCATAGAAGGCTTCTACTGTAGGATTCGGGCATGATTATGCGATGTCACCCAGGTGTACCCAGGTGTGCCTCGGTATCGACGCACGGTGCTGCAGTAAGCATGCATGCTGATGGTACTGTAGAAAGGAAAGATTGAAGCTGGATGAGGAAAAGGGACCCTTCTGGCGCGCAGTGGCGATTCACGGCCGCGCAGCGGTCTGAGATGTTGGCAATTCTCTGGACATGGCCAGGGCGTAGACACATGGTCGATCCATTGAGCCAGCACGTAGGGATTGAAAGCGATGGATCCGATCTGCCATGGCATTCGTGGGGCATGGGCGGGCAGCTCTTTGCATGCAGTGGATCGCGTATCTTCCTATTGTACATGGGCACGACGTTGAGCAGGCGGGACGACGGGGCGGGGTGGGCCAAGATGCACCCCAGCGATCAGCGTTGAGTGCAGATTTCGGGGCTGAGTTCCCATCGATAGATTGAAGAACCTGAGGAGTCATACTTGCCGCATCGGGAGGGCCGCAGCATCGGTTTCGTTTCAGAGGCGCACTCACCGCTTCTTGGGCGAGGCACGAGGGGACGAAACGACGGGCCGACGTGGGACAAGATGTGCGCAGCGTTCGCTGGGCGCGGCCGCGTTGGCAGACGTCCCGCCGCACGCGCAGTCAGTCGGAGGCCCGGCGCGCGGTCGAAGAGTCGAAGATGAAAAGGGCGCGCGCCCTCTTTTCCCGTCGGCGTTTGCTTCGCTATTCCGCAGCAGGCGGCGTTAGTGCTCGTAATCACGACGGCCGGTCCCAAGCCCTCAGCTGGACTAAGCTGCTAGGGGGGGGTGGCCGGCCTCTGATTCGCGCCCTACTTGTCGAAAAAAGTTGATGCCTGATGTTGGTTGGCACCCGCCAAATATAGCCGGATGGCGCACCCGGGCGCGGACACGCTGGCAGCGAGAACACAGGGGATACGAAGAAGAAGAAGCAGCAGCAGAGACAGCGCACCGTCGAGGCCGTTACTATGTTGCTTTGCTGCTACTGCTGCTAATGCTGCTGGGGGGACCTGAGGGACCTGAGGGACCTGGGGCACCTTAGGGCGGAGCACACTGCTGCGCGGGATTCTGCTGGCCGCGTCTCACGATTTCACCGGCGGGCCTCTTTTTGCGCAGCCCGTCGTCGCTAGCACGCTCCCAGGACGCGGAAAGCCAGCGTGCTGCGCCGGGCGCGGGAGGCGGCCATTGGCCAGGCGGCGCACGCTGGCCTGTAGCAGCAACAGGCCGCGACATGCAGCGCGACGTGCAGCGACACGGGTGCCCAGCCAAACCCCGGCCGCAGCGCGCGTCGGCTGCCAGTGAGTCATAACTGCCCTCGCGCTAGTGCGGCAGCGCTCGGCGCACACAAAAAGTGGCCATGCCCCGCGCCAGGCACCGATTTCCTTCTTCCTTTTCAACCCACCCCATCACTACACACGAACCAAGCATACAAAGACAACCAAAGCATCATGGCTGTCTTCTAGCTTCCTTCAGCACCCGCCGGTCGTCTTCAAGCCGACACCTTGGATCCCTCCACCATAGCCCACCTCCCCACTCTCACCACCCCCTCAGAGCCTTCCTTCTTGGAACCTCTGAACTACAGCCCAGCCTCGCGCAGCTCTAGTTCGCCGTCCACCTCCAACCCCCCGTTCGACTTTACGTCGTCCACCACGGCTTCTCAACAGTCAACATGGCTTTCCTCACCAGCTCCCCACGCCTCACGGCAACCACTGATTACCTCCCATACCGACTTCGCGCGTCCGCAGACGGACTTCGTGCTCTACGACCAGCCGGCTCAAGCCCCTCATCGGCCGCCGCGTGCACCGAGCGCACCGCAACCTGGGCATCTGTTTAACCCAGCCCACTCCTTCTACGCGAATTCTGCGCCTACATCAACCATAGGATTTCAACAACAGCCACAGTCACAACCACAACGTCCACCGGTCCCCTTGTTTTCTAGCTCTAGCAACAACAGCATTCCGCAAGTCTCACCAAACAACGTCGCAGTCATGGCAGGTAGGATTCACGCAAGCTCTGCCCATCAAAGGCTTCAGCTCACGCTGCCCGCAGACCTGAACAGCACAAACTCGTTCGACTCGGGGGCCAGCCTCTTCGCTGGCTTCCAGCAGGAGAGCCCCTGGGAGGCGCCCGTCACAGCCTTCACCGCCATCAACCCCCATTCGGTGTCGGGCTCTACGCGAACCGTGTCTCCCAAGGACATCTTCGCCGACCCTCTCCAGTCTGCCCCACCTTCGACGACGTTTACCGACATTACTTCTCCTGATATCGATCAGTCTCCCTTCATCACCGACAGCTTCGAGACCTCGCCCATGTTCCAGCCTGACTCGTACATGGCCTCGGATACTTGGTACTCCTTGTTTCCGGAAGAGGATGCGAAGGCTACCGCGCCAGCGGTTTCTGCACCCGCAGTCGCTCCTGCTCTCGAGCGCACTGTCAGCAGCAACACGACCAAGTCCAGCGGTTCCAGCGTCAACTCGCCTGTCGTCATGCCCAACGCACACCGGAGAAAGTCATCTGTCAACGGCTCACCCGCCACGAATGCATCGATAACCAAGCCTCGTCGCCGAAAGGGCCCTCTTCCCACCATCATGGTAGACCCCAACGACAAAGTGGCCCTGAAGCGAGCGCGCAATACCCTTGCAGCTCGTGACTCCCGGCAGAGGAAGTTTGATCACGTCAACACACTTGAGAAGCGCAACGCAGAGCTAGAGGCGGAAGTGGAGAAGTGGAAGCAAATCGCCTTTGCCCAAGGCTATTCCGGATCATGAATATGTGTGCCTACCGGAGTCGGTCCGGATCAGTGCTTGTCAGGGAGCTGGTGAGGATAGCCTCGCCATCTTGATCTTGACCAAAAAGTTTTCTTTGCGTCTATTGTCTTTTTTTTAGGGTTGCTTCCCGTCGTCCTTGACGACATGGTTGGTCCTCCCCTGTTTTATGTGCTATTCGTGTATTTTTCCGGCCGGAGCGCAGTCTCCCTTCGGTTGATCGACTCCTCCTGGTAACGGTGCGCTGGTTTCTGTCGACTTTGTCTCGACATTGCGATGGATACGGTCTTTTATAATGCAATTGTGTACAGTGGTGGAGGTCGATGCATTCGTGCTGAGACCCTCGAGGTGTTTCCCTTACTATAATATATTTGTTCTCCTTACACGATGACTCTTCTGCGGTGACTCTGATTGTTCGTGAGTCGTAACTATGAGTACAGCTCGCGATGACTTTTGCGGTCAATGCTGAGTCACAGCTGGGATTGGTCCACGGCCGGGCCACGGCTGGGCTCTCCCGAACACTTGTCATGCTCTGTTTGCACCATGCCTCGCCATGAACTTATATCACAGTCACACCAGCGACGTGTCATAATTGCCAGAATCTTCTACAACTCCAGTGACTCACCACGCCCACTTGTCTTGCTGTAACTAAGTTCTTGAACACTACACTCAACTGCCTTTCTCATCCACTAAATAAGTTTACCGTGCGCTAATATGCGTCACATGCTCGTGAGCTCGCCCCCACGCGCATGCGCCGGAGTGTGCGCGTCAAGGGCGTATGCGGAAGTTCGGAGTAGTGTGGGGCATCGCATATCGCATTGAGCAAAGCATTTCATCTTAGGCAATACATGCAGGCATCGGCGGTTGAAAAGTCGTGAGATTGTCTCCTTGCGCACCTCTAACAGGAACTTTGCGCGTATCGCGGACTGAGAGTCGCAGCTCGATGGAGAGCTCCATGAAGTGAGATGTTATCTCTGAGGAATGCTTTTCTTGAATGCGCAATCTGTGTGCAGCCATAGCCGCAACTCGATCATCTGCATGTCGCTTGTAGGTAGAACAGCGCTTCCCTAGTCGCGATGAATATCGGCCTTGTAAACGAAAAATGCAAAGGGGGCACGCTTCGAGAGGATATATTCTACATCGGTCATATAAAGTTATTGGCACCGGGTATCGCAATAATTGCTGCACGTTCTGTTGCCCCAGACCCTACCCAGAAATCGGAAAAGGCTTGATATCTACCTTTGTATTGCAGGTCTTGGGGTATAATGCAACAGACGTACATTCTATAATTGAATTAGCCTAGCTCTTCTCCCTGTTGATCTGGCGTGTCTATCTACACAAATAATTCACAATTTATTGTAGCACCTAGTATCGTGCTGGTTTCATGAGCATATGATCTTGGCAGTTGGAAATGGGGGGAAATGGTGGGGGTAGGAAGCGTCTGGAATGGCACCCGAAATCGCTAGCTAGTAACCGTACCAAAGATATGATACCGAGGTTCACAACCGAGTTAAACGACGTCTTACTTTTGGAAAAAGAACACTGGATATATATTTTGCATTTTTAGAAAGTTTCATCTATCACAGAGATTTAAACGGCAAGGTGGCCGAGTGGTTAAGGCGCTGTGTTTAGGCAGGCTTCATAGCAAGCATAAACCGCAGTCTTCACGGGCGTGGGTTCGAATCCCACCCTTGTCAAGCGCATCTTTTTTTCACAATCTGAAAAGGCATGAGTGGTGTCTTTTTGTTGTGGCTGCGGGGCAAAATAACCGAGTCGAGGTTCGGGCCGAACAAGAACACTGGCGGAGTCCAACATAGCTAGGTTTGCTCTCAGCACAAGGCTTTATTTTTTGTGGGGAACAATATCCTAGTGTAAGTATCGTGAAGGAACATCATTCTCTCACGGGAATAAGCGATTATACCTCACCGTAGCACCTGCTATTCCTTCGAGGTTCGTCACTGTTGGCTGAACGAGATACCCCTCCGACATCTAGAACTCACCACAAGCCCCGGAGCACACATCACACCACGTGCATCCTCACATCCCCACTACTTGAACACAACTCTACCTTCTAAACTCAGCATGTCTTCTTCTCAGCATGACGAGCTTCTCACCTCAGTAAGTCATCGCTCCTTACTCCATCCTGCACATGACGCTTTGCCTCACCTCCTACAATCAACGGCTTCCTCGGCAAAAGGTCATAACTCATTTCAGCTCCAAATTTCGGCGCGCAACGCGCTCGCAACCTTTGGTCCCGCCAGCCCACAATACGTCGGCATCAAATACGTCGTTGACGAGCACATGGCCAAAGCCGCACTGCATAGTTTGAGTCTTGCGTCACGAACGAAGGATGAGGAACAGCGAGGTGGTGGTGAGGCCAACGTGAGCGGACATGTTATGAATCTTGCTTTTAGACCGAAGGGCGCTTGATCAGGCAAAAGAGGGAAGGCGATTCGATTCGACATGGGTGGACGCGATATCATTCTGCGAGATGGTAGGATTCAGAAGCATTCGCAATCATGGTTGGGCAAGCGTGGTAGATGTGAGTGAGGCAGAATAGTACTCTAGGGCACTATGGTATACGACGCGGTAAGAAGACGGGCGGCAATCTATGAGACTGGGTATAGCTCTCTCTGTCAGAATACTTCACTTGCCATATAATTCACTTCTATTGAATTCAAGAGATACTCAACGTGAGCTCACCACATCCATCAAATCATGCATAGACCCATTGCCGCAATGCATCTTTGACACTCTTGAAAGTAGCTTGGCCAAGCTTAGTATCGTATCGTCTCTTGTGATGGGCCCTAACTAGACTTGTGAATTGTGACTACCGTCTTTTACCTGAGCTCGATTGAACTACACGCTCACTAAAGCATCCAGAGTGTTTTACGTCAGTTATTCCTTTTCATTCTCGGCACGATTGATTAGATTACGATACTTGCTCATCTAAGAACACCATGATATGTTGTTTACTGGATCTTGGGCGAACTGTCGTTGACCGTGGACATACGTGCCATGGCGAAAAAAAAGGCAGCAACAATTTCCCATGTGTGGATTTTCGAAGACTTGCGGGAGAGTGCGTGACGTATACACAACACATAATGGTGCTAAGGTGTTGACGACTAAAAGCGGTGGACAAGTAGTATATGGTGTTCGCAACATCTACTCCTCGTTTCGGAATTGGAAATGGCTTCCCTATGTAAGCCTGCCCTCTTTCAAGCACCTCCGCAATATGCACACAATCCCAGATCAAGTAAATCTTCCCACCCTTCCCCACCCCAACGATCGTGGAGCCGCCCCATCATCACTAGTATTAAAAATCGAGTGAATGTATCATAGAACATGCCTCATCAAACCCGACAAAAACTCCAGTAAATGCAGGTACACGAAGTCGTGCTGCCGCGTTCCGCCAAACCATGAAAGCATGCAACTGGATGTGTGACTCCGATGGCATACGCCCCAAAACAGCGCCTAGCTCACAAGCTCCTGCGCTGTGGTATCCTAATGGCGAGGTATATGGCGATTAAGAAGCACGCCGTGTTTTTCAGGCCAGCTCCAGCTCCGTAACGCCAAAAGTCGACAGAACCCCTCCGATTTGCTTAAATTCACTGAAAGACAACTCGGTATCGGATCCCAAGTCTCTTCGCGATTATTATCGCTTGCCTGTCGTCCCCCGTTCTTCTCACGGCACCACACTCTTCCGCTGCGTTGGGATGCATTATGTGAACAGCGTCACATCCGCTATTGTGTGGTTGCTGCAGCGAGTAGTCTTACCTCGTTACGACCAAGAGCAACAAGATTCCTAGGCTTCACTCAATGAGGGGTTTTCTATGACCCCCTACTATCGCCATGCCTAATGCGGAGAGTCCATTCGGATCGTTGGAGCGGATAATGGTGGCTGCGGGTAGCATGGGATTATCGGGCGAGACGTGTGCAGCGTCTCTGGCTGCTTGTTCGATGGCCTCCATCTCTTCCTTACAGCCAGCGTGATCGAACGGACAGACAACGATGGGCTGGCGCAGTAATATATCCCGTGCTGATGACAATTGTGCCTGCGATTTGTCAGTGGGTCTGCGACCTGGTCAGAATCTATGCGCTTACTTTGACCGTGAGATAATATTCAATCTTGTAGAGTGTGCCGGTCGTCGTGAAGCCATTGACAGCATACATTGGGAATTCCTTTTTCCCTCGTGGTATTATGCCATCTGAGTCCCGCAGGTCTTTTGCAGGAAACACTAAGCCTAGATTTGTGAAGTAGCCAGCCTCCGGCATCTTAACACCGACAGCTTGGGTCGTCTTCGCCAGTGTCTTCACTTTCCTCGTGGGTTCATCGCCCTCGTGGTTGAATATGATCTCCTCGTCTATCCCAACAGTGATCTTTTGAATAGTGACCTTTTGCGCCTTCTTTAACCAGTCGGGGTTAGGACTGAGCTTAATGTAAACTGATACAGGATCTAATGGGCCGTAACTCCATCTGGGCAGACTGATGCCCAGGGTGACAAGGTGGTCTGTGACTCTTTCGGCACTCTCGGGGCGGTTATACATGCCAAACGTGGAGAGGGTGTCGTATCGTTGTATGGGGACTGGAAACGGGTACTTCTTCTGGTCTGTCTGACCTTGCTGTACTGATACGACCAGTTCATAGAATGTCTCAGCCGTTCGGCTTGGCAGTTGTAGGCTTGCAGGCGGCACCCTTCTTGCTACTTCTTCACCCCCGCGGCCATACGGTATGAAGATGACGAATGGAAGGTCCATGGAGAGCACGCTCTCGTATTCCTTCCCAGCTGGACACCGGAACAGCAACATCTCCTTGCCCACGATGTCGCTGATCTCCTTGCGCGGGGCTGCGAGATGCTTCTTTGTGAGCGACTCGGCGGAAGGGTGAATGGTTTCGCGGCGGTGGAGTGCGATGGTGACGAGTGATACATTGACGGGCGCAGAGACACCGACAAGCGGGCGGATCTCGACCTTGCCTTCTATTCGTGGCTGTGCGATGGTTAGGACAGCGCCATTGTCAGAGCCGAAAGATGACGGCTATGACAGCTTGCGCACTCATGAGAGCAGGTCAGAGGTGGAGGACGTACCAATGTCGCGGATATGCCTGGGTAGCCGACGAGGAAGTTGCTGTTTGGCGGTCCAGAGACCCGCACAAAGGCCGACATGGCTTCTCACGGTGACGGATGGTCGGCGCAGGCCTGGGACGAGGGCGAGCACCGCATGGGCAGGTCTGGAGCCCTCTGTCGCTACGGGGCGCGGGCTCGTTCGCGCTCGAGGAGCTCCAAGTCGGAGCGTGGGCGAGGGGACGTAGCCTGCCGGGCGGGACGGTGGGGCGGAGATGGACCACGCAATGCCTCTGTGCAACGGGCGGGGTAGAAGGCAATCAGTGGTGATTCGGGAGCGCAGTGGTAGTGGTGCAGCGACAGTATGGGCGTATCGCGTCGGTGAGTGTGCCGTCTGGGTGCGTGTTGGAGGTTCAGTGTGCTGGGCTGCTTGCTTGCGCGGGCGGCGGAGCTCAGGTCGTGATAGGCCCGGTAATGAGTACAGGACGCTGGCACGAGTGAGGCCGCTAGATGCTGGCGATGGGCAAGCGCTGCGACAATCGAGTCACGGCGGGCGTAGGGCGACGGCTGGGGGAGAAAAGCAGACCGCGTTGCTGAACGGACGGCTTTGGTTCTGAGTCTCTTGGGGGCTGCGCGAAGCTGAGGCTACTTCACGCACATCGCCTCACCGCGTTAGCGGCCAAAGGATGCACCTGTCTACTTGCGCCTCCACCGCATCCGTTTTTTATAAATAAAACAAGACAACGAACCATGTCCGTCACCGTACGTTCTCGCACGCCTCGGCAATGCACTATGCTGACTCCAAAGCAGCTACACACCACGCGCGGTGATATCAAGCTCGAAGTCTTCTGCGAATCCGTGCCCAAGACCGCCGAGAACTTCCTCGCCCTATGCGCCTCTGGCTTCTACGATGGCAGCCCCTTCCACCGCCTAATCCCCAACTTCATGGTGCAGACTGGCAGCCCATCCTCCGACCCTAAATCCAAGGGCTCAACGTCCATCTACGATACCGCCGACCAGCTGTTCGAGGACGAGATACGTCCGGCACTGAGACACAATGCGAGAGGGATTGTGAGCATGGCCAACAAAGGCCCCAACTCAAACGGGAGCCAATTCTTCATCACCTTTGCGCCTGCGCCGCATCTGGACGGCAAGAACACAGTCTTTGGAAAAGTGCTTGAAGGCACCGAGGTCTTGGACGGACTGGAGGGGCTGGAGGTGGACAAGAAGTCGCGACCCAAAGAGCGAGTGGAGATCAAAAACATCACTATGCATGCAAACCCTCTTGCTGGATGAACAAGGATGGATAGGATGGAAAGACTTAGGTTGTGCCAACGGGAAGCATGATATGTGACACGTCCTACGAATGATCAATTGCGGCCGTCGAAGCCTTGGTATCTACACAAACTAAAGACCAGCTACGAAGAAAAGAGAAGGAAATCTAGCTCGCCTCATGTACCATTGGCTGTCTCGCCGTTGGTCGTCGCGCCATCGTTCGCCGCCGCCTGCTTGTCTTCATAGCCCTCTGTCTTCATGTCCTTGAGACCAAGATCCTCCTCTTCTTCCTCTGTTCGCTCGTACTCCTCGACCTTCATTTGAGCATCGGGCTCTGGTGCAGCAAAACTCTGTACATA